AATACATAATTACCAAGGACTATTTTTACAGCCTTTCCAACATGGGAATAGAGTAGTAGTCTCCTAAATAGGGCTGCAGCGAGTTGAAAGAGCTCATGAGAAAAAGCAGGGGCCGGTGGAGAGAGCACAATCATTATATAATAGATTAATTATAGATCACTCTAATTACGTGTTGTATTGGAGAAAAGAATCACCCTGTATGCTTGTCGCTCCTTCTGCCTAGAATGCTCTTGCCTTAGAAACCAGCATGACTAGCTTATTCCTTAGTTGTAGATCTCCACTGCCCATTGTCACACTGTCAGGGTCATTGCTACCCTAGTCCCTAGCACTCACTCTCTTCCTAAGCCTACTTTACCTTTTTTTCCCATTTCACTTACCACATGAAATTGTATTTGTTATTTAGTGACTTTCTCCTCCAACTTCAATGTAGCAGCAATTTTGTGTTTATTCATTGATATATTTCCAAACTTTAGAGCACTGCTTGGCAATTTTAAAATGTTCATCGGGTATGTGTTGAATGAATAAAAGAATGAAAGCCCCTGAGCTTAATTTGGTTACACATTTCAACTTTCTCCTCCTTTCAGGCAATTGTCCAAACCTGCATCTGCTTTGAATGACCAGACGCCAAATTCCATAAAGACAAGCACCATGTCCTCTATTTGATTCTTGGTGGAACCCCTAGTGCCTGGCACTCAGTATGCAGTTTTTGATATTATCCATCCAATTTGGAATTCATTCATTATTGATGCTGATATTAATGCATGAAATTTGAAGACAAGTGTAAATATACCTACAAAATACAATCTGTTGACCGTTCACCTCTTGCCAGGCAATTATGCTATACTCTACTGAGGGCAGCTCACTCCAACATCTCAGTCATATAACATCTAGGGACTCTAACAACTTGATCTGTTGGTGGAGGCAGTACTTCATGGTCAGGAAGCAATGCCATCATATTTTAAACTAAAATTTACAGCAAAGAACAAATATAATCACTTCAGCACTTTTATCAGTACATTTAAATTATAATGCATGTTTTCAATTAAAGTTTGCCTTTTCATAGACATACTTTTAACACAGACAGACTATATCCAGAACATTACTATCTCCTTGTCATTAAAAATTAAATAGTAATATTTAGTTAATTTTTATCTTTTTTTAGTTTAAGATACTGCTATAAATGCCCTTTGTCTTTGAAAACCATTCCCTAATCCAAACATTTTGCAGAAGACTCTTATATCACAGACCCTTGTATCTTTATTATCTTAGCATAGCACCCTTTTTGTTAATACACTATAATAGCTCATATCACATTTTGTAATTATTTATTTATAGACAATCTCCCCCAGTAGACTAACCTCGCCCAGTAGGGAACATTAATGACTGGGTATGTTAACAAACACGAAGTCATGCACTTATATGTTCTAGAAAGTATAGTGGTAGGGGTTGCACAACATTGTTAATGCCCCTAATGCCACTGAATGGCACACTTAAAATGGATATTATGATAAATTTTATGTTATGTATGTGTGATCACAATAAAAAAAAATGAGGACTTACATTGGTGGTAAAATTATGTAAGATCTTCAGGTTCCTTTTGTGGTCCCTTCCATCTTTAAACAAAAGGTACAAAACGTCATGCCAGAACCAAATTGTCTTCATTCTTCGATGTAGCAAATCACTCATCCTATAAACAGGATGCAAATGTATCAGCTGATATATCAAAAATGTGCATTGCTTGTGTACCTATTTGGTGCCTGGTCTCAATGAGGGTAATATGTGGCAACGATGATAATTTATCTTAGCAGCTACCAAAAGCTCCGTGCTTTATGCTCAACAATGAAGGCATAGGTTATAACACATCCAAGGAAGCTTAAAAATTAAATGGGTCCTTTGGAGGAATAAAGAATCCATTACAAAACAATCTTACTAGATGGCCATCTGACCTCTCCTTCTATTTCTCCAGGAAGAGTTCCAGACCTCCCTGAGCTGCTGTAGCTCTTATACCACAGGGTGGGATGAAATCTGCCTGTTTAACGACCACGCATTTTCTTGATCACTCTTCTGGCTGTCCTCTTCTCTAGTAAAGTGCCCCTCTGTCACATCCCTGTCCCGAGTCCCGCCCTCAACATTTCCAGTGATGGAGCAGAGAGACCTATGCATGATCTCCTCCTTTGAGAGCAGCTTACAGGTCAATTCTGTAGAGCAGCCTTTCCTGGTCACTCAATCTGTGGGCCCTATTCTGTTTTCTTCTTGAATATCAATCAACTTTATTTTTTCTTTCTAAGCAATTATTATAGTTTATAAGTTTACTAGTAGCCCAGTGCACAAAAATTTGTGCACTTGGCGGGGGGTGGGGGGTGGGGGTGTGTGTTCCTTAGTTATTAAACATTTATCGGCACAACACTGACCACACTGGTGGTGTTGGTGGTCTTGTCAGAATGTGTTATATTATGCAGATAAAAATCTATTTAAACAGATTTGAAATTTTTCAGTCCCCATATGGATTGCTGGATATAATAGGTCATGCGCTGTCCCTGTCCTTTGTAGCCTTTGTTACCTTAAGGACTCTAGTTTTCCATTTATATGTTTAAGTATCAACCTTACTGGCTTAAAAATGTAAGCTTTTAACACTGCTCTCTCTGTATCCTTCCAATGAAAAGTAGAGTTGGCTTGTAGCACAGGAGAGAAATTCAGAAGGGGAATATTGAAGTAAAGACAGCAGTAGGAGAAGAGGGAGCCTATTTCCCTGGCCACAGGCACTGGTGCCCTGGCCAATAGTGCTGGCAGCTTCTCCAGGTGGCTGCAGCCTGGGACCTCAGGCGGCTTACTTGTCTGTCTCCTGGACCAAAGGTGGTGGCTTCTTCTTCTGTGCTTCCAGGGAGGGCAGTCAGTTATGTGTATATGTGTGTGCATGCAAACACAGGCATGTACATGTGTGTATGTGGAAATCTGCTGGGCAAGTCAAAACCATAGAACAGTTGCCCCCTATCTCTTGAATCTTCCAGAGATATCCCTCACTTTTTTATTCTATCACTACTAGAGAGTCAGTATTTATAGCCAGCCAGCCAGTGACTCTCTCAGTGTCTATTTCTGACTTCTTTTCCTGTCTGTCTTCCAACCCCGTAATCATATTTCCACCTGGATGCATCATTTTTACTCCCAATATGCTGGGCCCGGTCTCATGGGGTTTGCAGTTTGAAAGGTGCTCGCAATCTAAGTGGCAGCCAGGACCCGGTCTCAGGGGGTTTTACCCACACAGTTTGAAAGGTGCTTGAGATCTACTTAGGGGTTAGTGCCGCCTCTTCTCTGCCCCTCCAGCTTCTCCAATCACTGATCACCAGTCAGGGTGGGAGGGCAAGGAAGAGGTGGCCACTGCCGCCGCCTCTTCCTTGCCCCGCAGGCTTCTCCGATCACGGCTGGGGGTCAGGCAAAGGCAGCCCTGGTTATCAGATCACGGTGGGGGTCGGGCAAAGGCCCCGGTTCTCCAATCACAGCTGGGGGTCGGGAAAAGGTCCAGGTTCTCCAATCACAGCTGGGGGTCGTGCAAAGGCTGCCCGGTTCTTTCAATCACGGCTGGGGGGTGGGGTAATAGCCCCAGGTTCTCTGATCACGGCTGGGGGTCGCGCAAAGGTCCCCAGTTCTACGATCACGGCTGGCGGCCCGGGCATAGGCTCCTGGTTCTTGCCTGCCACCTGTGTTTATGATCATAGTCAGCGGCAGGCGGATTCTTCTGTCTCTCTCCTTTTGCCTCCCAGCATTGCACCTACACATGCAAATTGACCGCCATCTTTGTTGGCAGTTAACCATCTTTGTTGGCAGTTAATTTGCATATCGCCCTTATTAGCCAATGGAAAGCATGTCGGGGGTACGGGTTAATTACTATGTTTGTCTATTATTAGATAGGATACTTATTTGTTTTGATGCTTGTCTCCCTGTTATTCTGTTCTGTGGACCACTATAAAACTAGTCAGTATCTTGTGTAAATGGCAGATTATATATGCGAATATGTGTTAAAATAAAATTGGCAGTGGACTCAAAGACAGAATTCCTTAAATCAAACCCTGGCTCTGCCTCTTTTTTAAAAATATATTTTATTGATTTCTTACAGAGAGGAAAGGAGAAGGATAGAGAGTCAGAAACATCGATGAGAGAGAAACATAGAGCAGCTGCCTCCTACACACTCCCCACTGGGGATGTGCCTACAACCAAGGTACATGCCTTTGACCGGAATCGAACCTGGAACCATTGAGTCCACAGGCCGACGCTCTATCCATTGAGCCAAACCAGTTAAGGTGGCCCTGCCTCTTAATAGTTAAATAATCTCAATCCATTTTTCAAAATTAATATTTCTATTTTAATAAAAAAAATAATACACAGTGTAGAAAATATGGGAAGAGAGAATTAATAACAACACAAAAAACAAAAAGAGAAGCACATAACACAAAACAATAATCACAGCTAACTTTATGGAATATCTACAAGTTTTTTTTAATGAATAATTTTTTATACCTAGTTATCATGCTAAAAATATTGTTTTTATCTTTATTTTATCAATAAGCATCATAATGTAATTTCTCAATATATCATAAAATAATCATTTAAAATTATACCATAGCCTGGGTGTGCCACATTTTATACAATAAATCCTCTACTGTTAAAATACATGCGTAAATGATTAGGTGGATTTTTAGTGCAATAACTCATTGTAAAACAATGAAAAAGATACAACACAGACAAAAAACTATTAGCAATATTTTTAAAGCTTGAATCAATAACAATTTAAAACATAATTAGAAGGGCTCTGTTTACCTATAAACTGCACGGACATACTCAGAATCATCATTAGTCTGAGCATCAATATTCTTGCCCATAGCTGTCTCTGCAAAATATGGGTGAGAAGCAACCATTCAATTCATGCACATGCCTTGTGTTTATTTTCCAGTGGCAAACACTTCAAAGAAGAGATAAATTCTTATATATTTTAGAATTGTTCCTGTCCCCTTTCACTCTTGCACCTTTAGTTTCTCCTACTCCCTGTTCCTGCTCCTTCTTCCCTCTGCCCTTCCTGGCAGGTTGGCTCTGCTCAAAGCCCTGGCAGTGGGTACTGCTTCTCTGGAGCCTAATTTAGCAGAAGGATCAGCCCCAAAGAAGCCAAAATCCTTTCTAACCCCTTCATTTGCCTTCCCAGTGAAATGTTATTTTCTATTTGGGCCATTGTATGTTTACACCATAGCTCTAGAAACAAATCCATGAGACGTACCACAGATTATATCTAAGGCACAAAGAGTGATGTAAAAAAAGCAGTTAAATTTTTCTCCGTCAACATGCTTTTCAAGCTTATTAACCAATATGTTGGCTTGTTCATTCATGACATCTAAGAAGTCTTCCAGAATGGTAAAATGGAAAGTGGGTGTTAACATTTTTCTCCTGGAGCGCCATTTGTTTCCAGTACTAGAAATACAAGACATGGTTACAAAGAGAAAAGCAACATCCAAAGCAAGTAACGCATAGTCAAGACAACAAATTCTTCTTAATCTACAGATTCCCAAATGCTTTGGTCAGAATGTCAAGGGGAGATTCATATACAGTACAGAATTGTCATATTTTAGATATCCTTCTATATTACTAATATGTAAAAGAGCATTTTTCAAAATTGAAAATTTTAAGAATTTCACTAAATTTCTAAGTTCTGAGTTTCCAAAAATGAGAAATTTCCCCCCTTTATCCAACCTTAGCCCTCTGAAGATCCAGGAGCTCCATGAGTCTACTTTGGTCTCTAACATCTCCAAATTCTCCAAAGCCCCCACCGAAGTCCTGCTTTCTCTTTCTCAGTTGATGTGGTC